TGTAGGAGGGGGGCTGGCAGCGAGCTGTAACTTACCTTTCCTGCAGCTCCTGTCAGCTCCCTTCTCTCTCCTCCGATCCTGTCAGCTCCCCTGTCAGCTCCCACTGTAAGTCTCGCAATGTTACTGCCGTGTGGAGCGTTGCCAGGGTAACCCGTGGCAACGCTCTGACCCCGCGGCTCTCGCAAGACTTGCAGGGGAGCTGACCGGACCAGAGGAGAGAGAAGGGAGCTGACAGGAGCTGCAGGAAAGGTAAGTAACAGCTCGCTGCCAGCCTCCAACAGGACCGTCGGGCTTGTAATGAGCCCGGTGGTCCTGTTCTGTATTATGGCAACGTAAGTTGCCATAATATAGACAGTGACTCGAGTATAAGATGAGTGGGGGGTTTTCAGCACAAAAAAATGTGCTGAAAAACTTGTCTTATACTCGAGTATATACATTGTGTGTGTATATATATATATATATATATATATATATATATATATATATATATATATATATATATATATATATATATATATATATATATATATATATGTGTGTATTATTTATTTTTATTAAAAAAAATAAAGTTTTTTCCCCCTCCCTTCTTACCTTTGGCCCAAGAGGGGGAAGATTGTGAGCCCTGTGGACCAGTGATTGGTGAACTCTAAACTGCAGCTCCTCTGGCTAGAGTTCATTCTTATGAGATCCAACCAGCCAGAGTATTGCCAGGATAACCATAGCAACACTCTTAGCTTACAAGGTGAACATGCAGAACCCAGTGGAACTGTAGGTTATAGCCCCAGGTCCTCCTCTTCCCTCTTCCCTCTTGATTTAAGTGGCAGAGGGCCAGTGAGAGAGATATTTGATCTCCCCCACTGGCCAGTCACGGCACACAGCAAGGCCTATTTTAATGTTAACATTTTACATATTTGCAACTCTAAGGATTTTGCTCCTCTAAAAATCTAAAAACCATCCCTGTGGCCCTGCCAATGCTATGCCACTAGCTTGCAATACATTGTTCTACATCAATTTCTATGAACACATAAAACCAAGGTATTAGAGTTATTTTTGGAAAGTAAAGGCATGGGAATAATTCTGCCATTATTTGACAGAAAGTTAGATTTGTTTTTTTTGGTGCAATGGTTATTTGTCTTTTTATTACTATTATTTTATTATGTAGTGCCAGCAAATTCCGTAGTGCTGTACAATGGGTGGACTAACAGACACGTAATTGTAACCAGACAAATGGACACACAGGAAAAGAGGGGTTGAGGGCCCTGCTCAATGAGCGTACATGCTAGAGGGAGTGGGGTATAGTGTCACAAAGGGTATAAGTAGGGGTAATGAAATAGATTGCTATAAAGTATTCATTGAGAACTTAGGTTATTTTTTACAGTTGCAGATGAGGAGTCATGGGGGGGTTGGTGGGAATCAAAACAAGCTAACAGTTTAGTAAATGTGTTTTCAAAGATTTTTTGAAGGAGTGGAGACTGGGTGAATGTCTAACAGAGAATTGAAGGGAGTTCCACAGAAAAGGTGCAGCCCTGCAGAAGTCTTGGAGGCGAGCATCAGATGTGGGAGTACAGACAGAGGATAGACGTACTCCCACAAGGATGCCTACACCTTTACAGTTGAGTCTGGGAGTGTGGTAGAATTGTAGTCCACTGAAACATAAAGAAGCTGGAGTAGCGGTATCAGAGGGGGAAAGCCAGGACTCAATGAGTGCTGGTAGTGTGAGGGAATTGGAGATGAAGAGGTCATGTGTGGCTGTTGATTTAATTTTGCTACAGATGGAATGGGCATTAGAGAGTGCACACTGAATGTTGGTAGAAGAGGATAAACTGCAGGGTATTTGGATAAGGTTTGTGTGGTTTCTAGTTGTTCTAGTGTGAGAAGATAAGGTGAAGGGCCCTGGGTTGGGAGAGAGACATCACCAGCTGCTAGAAGTAGGAAGAGAGATAGTGACAGGAGTTGTGAATGGGTTTTAAACAATTCTCTCCAAATGTGCACATTTCAGCTAAATTTCTCAAATGAAGCAAAGCCCATAAAGTACAATTTACTTTCCTCTTTGCCCCAGCACTGTATTACACACAGGAGAAAAACATTTTTTTAGAGCAATGCTCTGTTCTGTCATTTATATGAATGGTTATTTTTAGAGTTGAGCGGACACCTGGATGTTCGGGTCCGGCGGGTTCGGCCGAACTTTGAAAAAAAGTCCGGGTTCAGGCTCGAACTTGACCCCGAACCCCATTGAAGTCAATAGGGACCTGAACTTTTGGGCACAAAAATGCCTCTAAAAAACTCCTGGAAAGGGCTAGAGAGCTGCAAAAGGAAGTAAAATGGGGAGTAAGAGTAGGACAAGTGCCCTGCAAACAAATGTGGATAGGGAAATCACTTAAAATAACATAAAAATAAAAAATACAGCTGAGCCATAAAATAGCACTAGATGGAATCTTTGATTTTAGCTTTGGAAGAACATAAATCAAAATCTAAAGCATGGCTGTCAGGGGGATCACCAGAATTATCCATTTGAGAGAGGGTTGGAGTGCAGGATGTTCTTTCATTGTTCAAACTGAGCTCAACACCTGATGCTTGGAGAAAAGGCCTTCACAAGCCTTTGCTATTGTGTACATAGTTTATACTAAGTGACCCATAGGTTGAGGAGGTGGTGACCGTAGTGGTGTAAGTGGAAGCGGTAGGGGAGGAAGAGGAGGAGGTAGCCAACACTGTTTTTTATATATTTTTTTTATTTTAGTTGGAGTAGCCCCCCAAATATTGGGACATATAAAAAAAGAAGCATTTGCAGCCTGCAGTGCATTTCTTGCAGTCCTGATGCATGGAGAAATGCTCAACTCCTGATGCATGGAGAAAAGGCCTTCACAAGCCTCTGCTAATGTGTACATAGTTTATACTAAGTGACCCATAGTTTGAGGAGGCGGTGACCATGGCGGTGTAGGTGGAAGCAGCGGTGGAGGAGGAGGCGGTAGCCAACACTGTTTTTATTTGTTTTTGGTTTTTTTAATTGGGGTAGCCCCCAAAATATTGGGACATATAAAAAAAGAAAACTCTGTTCCGCATAGCGATTAACCCGTGCGTGCTGCAGCTGAAAGTCCACTATCACCTGCTGCTGCTCGCACAGTCTCATGAGGCGGTGAGTGTGAAGGCCAAAGTTACGCTGCAGCTCGGACAGGTGAGCAGCAGCAGGGTGAGAACGCCAAAAGCGCGCACAGACGCTTTTGTTTGTTTCTTTTAATTGGGGTAGCCCACAAAATATTGGGACATATAAAAAAAGAAAACAAAGAATAAGTGCATTCGAGTATAACAATGGCTTGGTGAGGCCGATATAAATGTCTATTCTGCACAAGGTACAGACAAGTCTGGTGGGATCCATGCCTGGTTCATTTTAATAAATGTGAGCTTGTCCACGTTGGCTGTGGACAGGCAGCTGCGCTTGTCTGTGATAACGCCCCCTGCCGTGCTAAACACATGTTCAGACAATACACTGACTGCAGGGCAGGCCAGCACCTCCAAGGCATAAAGAGCAAGCTCAGGCCATGTGCCCAATTTGGAGACCCAGAAGCTGAATGGGGCAGACCCATCACTCAGTACGTGTAGGCATGTGCACACCATGTTGCTAAAATGCTGCCTCCTGCTAAGACGTTCCATATCAGATGGTGGTGCTGGTCGTTGTGGCATGCTGACAAAGCTTTTCCATATTTCAGCCATGCTAATCCTGCCTTCTGAGGTGCTGGTGGTGCCACATCTGCGTTGGCGACCTCTTCCTCCTCCTCTGCCTTTGCCTTGTGCTTCCACTGAACCCCCGGTGTCAGTTGGGAATGCCCTCAGCAGCACATCTACCAGCATGCGCTTGTAGACGCACATCTTCCGATCACGCTCCAGTAAGGGAATTAAGGACGGCACATTGTCCTTGTAATGGGGATCCAGCAGGGTGGCCACCCAGTAATCAGTACAAGTTAGAATGTGTGCAACTTGGCAGTCATTGCGCAGGCACTGTAGCATGTAGTCGCTCATGTGTGTCAGGCTGCCCAGAGGCAAGGACAAGCTGTCTTCTGCGGGAGTTGTATCGTTTGTGTCCTCCGTATCCCCCCAGCCACGCTCCAGTGATGCCCACGAGCTGCGTTGGGTGCCACCCTGATGTGAACACGGTTCCTCCTCCTCCTCCTCATCTTCCAGAACTGTGCCCTGGCTGGACAATTGTGTACCTGGCCTATGCTGGTGCAGGAACCCATCCTCCAAGCCACTTGTGAATGACTGGCCTGATAACTGTGGAAATTACCCCTCTTCCTCTTCCTCCTGTGCCACATCCTCTTCCATCATCGCCCGCAGCGTTTTTTCAAGGAGATATAGAAGCAGGATAGTAAGGCTGAGAACGGCGTCATCGGCACTAGCCATGTTGGGGGAGTACTCAAAACAGTGCAAAATGGCACACAGATCTCGCATGGAGGCCCACTCATTGGTGGTGAAGTGGTGCTGTTCCGCAGAGCGACTGACCCGTGCGTGCTGCATCTGAAACTCCACTATCGCCTGCTGCTGCTCGCACAGTGTAACGAGAATATACCCCTACACGCAGGATCCAGCTAAACAGAGGCAAATACAGAGGAGAGATACGTCTACCGGACCTTAGAATGGCCGGACTCGACGTATATGAGAGGAGACAGAGCCAGGAACAAACCGAGGTCAAGGGCACAGAGAGACAGCGTAAACTAGGACAAGCCGGGGTCTGGTACACGGAAAACAGCAAGCCGGCAAACAGTACAGATAAGGATAAAGCGAAAACGAAGTCAGAATACGAAGCCAAAGTCAATACGAGAAAACACAACTGAACACCACAAGCGCTAAAGGGAACTGAAACAGAAACCACGATAGGGCAACGAGCTAAGGGAAAAAGGTAAGTTAAATAGCTTTTAAACCAAAGTGATTGGCTCCTGTCACTTCCACACCCCCTATAGGTAATTGTATAGGGAGTGTGGTATGACAGGAGCCAATGGGAGCCTTTTGGCAATTAGGCTCCCACTGTCTCTTTAAGAGCGCGCCCGAGACTCGCGGCGCGCTCTTAGTTTCAGGCGGGACACGTGACCGCAGAAGCAGTCGGATGAGCCGCGCGCGGCTCGTGCAGCCGCAGGACCGCGCGCGGCTTGAAGAGAGGACCGCGACCGGCCCCCGGTTAAGGTAAGTAACGCTACAGTACCCCCCCCTGAGGACACGCCCCCCGGGCGGGTAGGACCAGGCCTGGCAGGAAAACGAGAATGGAAAGAGCGCACAAGACGGGGAGCATGGACAGCATCAGCCGAAATCCAACTGTGCTCCTCAGGCCCATAACCCTTCCAATGTACCAAGTACTGAAGTCGACCCCTAAGGAAACGAGAGTCAAGAACAGCAGACACTTCAAACTCCTCATGACCCTCCACCGAGATAGGAGGGGGAGGAGGAGTATGCCGGGTATAGCGGTTGCGTACGAAAGGTTTCAACAATGAGGTGTGAAAAACATTAGGAATACGTAGATTCTTAGGCAGGCCTAAGGCATAAGAAACAGGATTAACCTTATGTATAATACGATAAGGTCCAATGAAGCGGGGAGCCAATTTCATAGAAGGCACCCGGAGACGAATATTCCGCGTGGAAAGCAAAACCCTGTCCCCCACAACATAGGACGGAGCTGCTCTGCGATGCTTGTCAGCCTGAGCCTTCTGGCGAGTAGCAGAGTCCACCAAAGAACGCTGAACCTGCTCCCAAGTATTACGCAAACCAGCCAAATGCTCATCCAGAACTGGCATGCCCTGTGAGGAGAATGCAGCCGGAAGAACAACGGGATGCTGGCCATAGACAACGTAAAAAGGGGTCTTGCCGGAAGAATCATGAGTGGCGTTATTCCGAGCAAATTCAGCCCAAGGAAGCAGGTCAGACCAATTGTCCTGATGGTGAGACACAAAACAACGGAGGTATTGCTCCAGAGACTGGTTGGCACGTTCAGCAGCCCCATTAGACTGGGGATGATAAGCGGAAGAAAATGAGAGAGAAATACCCATTTCTGAACAAAAGGCCCTCCAGAACCTGGAAATAAATTGGCTACCCCTATCGGATACAATAGATACGGGAATCCCATGTAATCGAAATACTTCTCTAGCGAAGATATGAGCCAGTTCCTTGGATGTGGGCAACTTGTGAAGAGACACGAAGTGAGCCATTTTGGAGAACCGATCCACTATCATCAGGATTACTGTGTTACCATTTGAAGGGGGTAATTCAACAATAAAATCCATGGACAGGTTAGACCAAGGTCTCTCGGGAACGGGTAACGGATGCAACAGCCCACAAGGAACTCTACGGGAGGATTTCATACAGGCACAAGTAGTACAAGCACTTATATAGTCAGTGACATCCTTTCGTAAGGAATCCCACCAAAAATACCGAGAAACAGCTGACACCGTTTTGGAAATACCAGGATGTCCAGCAGTCTTAGCATCATGATATAATGACATAATATCCCGTCTCTCAGGAACATCAACGAACAGTTTATCATTAGGCCTCTCGCTAGGTGCCATGCTTTGTTTCGCTTGTATGGCCTGCAAGAGGGACGAGGAAATAGACAAAATAGTAGTAGCTATTATCCTGTCTGGGGGAATGACAGGAGTAACGTCAACCTCTTGTTTGTCAGTAGTTTCGAACTGTCTGGACAGAGCGTCTGCTTTAGTGTTGCGATCACCTGGCCTATAGGTGATAATAAAATTGAAACGGGACAAAAATAGTGACCACCTAGCCTGCCTGGAAGACAATCTTTTGGCTTCGCTAAGGTAGGATAGGTTCTTGTGATCCGTAAAAATGAGGATAGGATCCTTAGTTCCTTCTAACAAATGTCTCCACTCTTTAAGTGCTAAAATAATAGCAAGGAGTTCGCGATTACCCACATCATAATTTTTCTCTGCTTTGGACATTTGTTTAGAAAAGAAGCCGCATGGATGCAATGGCTTTTCAGGCGACTCTCTTTGGGATAAGACAGCACCTACCCCAATATCCGAAGCATCAACTTCAAGAATATAGGGCAGTGAGGGGACAGGATGCTGTAAAATAGGTGCAGAGGCGAACGTAGTTTTAAGAAATTCAAAAGCCTGAAGTGCCTCGGTAGACCAAACACGAGTATTGCCATCCTTTTTAGTCATACGGGTAATAGGTGCTACAATGGACGAGAAACCTTTGATAAAACGTCTATAATAATTGGAGAACCCAAGAAAACGCTGAATAGCTTTCAGACCTTGCGGTAGAGGCCATTCTATTACAGCAGCAAGCTTCTGGGGATCCATACGAAAACCTTTAGCGGAAATCAAATACCCCAAGAACTGGACTTCGGTTTGGTCAAACAGACATTTTTCTAGCTTGCAATAAAGACCATTAGCAAGAAGGGTCTTCAAAACTGTCGTAACATGTCTGTGATGAGTGTGTATATCTGTAGAATATATTAAAATGTCGTCCAAGTATACGATAACAAATGTGTGAATAAAATCTCTTAAGACATCATTAATAAATTCTTGGAATACTGCTGGGGCATTGCAAAGCCCAAATGGCATAACAGTATATTCGTAATGACCGGATCTAGTGTTGAATGCAGTCTTCCATTCGTGATTTTCCTTTATACGTATCAAATTGTATGCACTCCTAAGGTCTAATTTAGTGAACACAGTGGCATGTTTCAGCCTGTCAAATAATTCTGTAATTAAAGGTATAGGGTATGCATTTTTGATAGTGATTTTGTTTAGACCTCTATAATCTATACACGGTCTTAAATCACCTTCTTTCTTCGATACAAAGAAGAACCCTGCTCCAGCTGGAGAAGAGGATCTCCTAATAAACCCCTTTTCTAGTGATTCCTTAATATACTCCTCCATGACACGGTTTTCTTGAACCGATAAGGGGTACACCCTGCCCTTTGGAGGTATAGTGCCAGGCAACAAGTCAATAGCGCAATCATAGGGTCTGTGAGGCGGTAATTTCTCAGCCTCCCTTTTATCGAAAACAGTCTTTAGAGATAAATACTGAGGGGGTATAACCGTAGACAAAGGAGGACTGGTAGGTACCTCAATAGAATTCAAAGGTGTGACTTCCAACGTACAAGACTCGTGGCAGGCCTCACTCCATGATTTTATTTGCCCTGTCTCCCAGTCAAAAATGGGATTGTGAGCACGTAACCATGGATACCCTAATACTAACTGTGAAGAGGGAGAGGTGATGACCTGGAATCGAATGGTTTCATAGTGTAAAACCCCTGTGTACATGTGTAATGGTACAGTCTCATGAGTAACAACTGGAGAACTTAATGGTCTACCATCTATGGCCTCAACGGCCAAGGGTATCTCCTTCTCTCTGATGGGAATGTTGTTTCTCTTTATAAAGCCAGAGTCTATAAAATTTTCAGCTGCCCCAGAGTCAACCAGAGCATATATGTTGTCAACTATACAAATCTCTCCCATATATAAAGAAACCGGGAGAAGCAAGCGGTTAGGAGGCAATTTAGGAGACTTAGATATCACACCCAAGGCCAGTCCCCTATAAGGTCTTAGGTGCGAGAGTTTTCCGGGAGTAAAGGACATTCCTTTACCATATGGTCTCTCCTACCACAGTATAGGCAGAGTCCCTCCCTTCTCCTATGTAATTTCTCAGTATCAGAGAGTTTGGCAACCCCTAATTGCATAGGTTCCTCCTCAGACACTTTAACACTCTCTGGTATATTAACTCTGGGGTTAATGGGTGTAACAAAACGTCTATTCCTGTTCTTGGTATAGAGCCTGTCACGAATTCTATTATCTATATCAATGAGGTAATCGATAAGGTCCTCTAAGGCAATAGGAAGCTCCTTAGCTGCTACCTCATCCAATATCGTATCTGACAAACCTTCCATAAAGGCAGTAGTTAACCCATTGTTGGTCCAATCTACCTGCGAAGCAAGAGTGCGAAACTGAATAGCATAATCAGCCACAGACCTAGAACCCTGTTTAATTCTCATTAATGCTCTCGCGGCATTCTTTGACCTTTTCATTGTGTCAAAAGTTCTACGAAAAGCCGTAAGAAAACTGTTGAAATCATGCACCATAGGTCCATTAGCTTCCCAAATAGGATTTGCCCACTCAAGTGCCTTATCGGTGAGTTGGTGCATAAAGAACCCAACCTTAGACCTCTCTGTGGGAAATGAACGTGGATACATTTCGAAGTGGAATTCAATTTGATTAATAAACCCTCTGCAAGTCTTAGAGTCCCCTCCATACCTAGGAGGAGGTGTTAAATGGGCCGAAGTATTAGGCAAAGTAGATACTTCAGGGAGAAGGGGCGTAGGAGGGTTAGGTGTGGTTGCTGGAACGGTTCTAGCTAGGAGCGTCTGGAGAGCCTGAGCTATCTGATCCATACGGTGATCCTGCTCTACAAATCTTGCCTCATGGGACGCCATCTGTTGAGCTAAATCTGCGGGGTCCATGGCCCTATCGTAATGTAACGAGAATATACCCCTACACGCAGGATCCAGCTAAACAGAGGCAAATACAGAGGAGAGATACGTCTACCGGACCTTAGAATGGCCGGACTCGACGTATATGAGAGGAGACAGAGCCAGGAACAAACCGAGGTCAAGGGCACAGAGAGACAGCGTAAACTAGGACAAGCCGGGGTCTGGTACACGGAAAACAGCAAGCCGGCAAACAGTACAGATAAGGATAAAGCGAAAACGAAGTCAGAATACGAAGCCAAAGTCAATACGAGAAAACACAACTGAACACCACAAGCGCTAAAGGGAACTGAAACAGAAACCACGATAGGGCAACGAGCTAAGGGAAAAAGGTAAGTTAAATAGCTTTTAAACCAAAGTGATTGGCTCCTGTCACTTCCACACCCCCTATAGGTAATTGTATAGGGAGTGTGGTATGACAGGAGCCAATGGGAGCCTTTTGGCAATTAGGCTCCCACTGTCTCTTTAAGAGCGCGCCCGAGACTCGCGGCGCGCTCTTAGTTTCAGGCGGGACACGTGACCGCTTCACGCGGTCACTGCCCGCCTTCCATCTGAAGCAGTCGGATGAGCCGTGCGCGGCTCGTGCAGCCGCAGGACCGCGCGCGGCTTGAAGAGAGGACCGCGACCGGCCCCCGGTTAAGGTAAGTAACGCTACACACAGTCTCTCCAGCATTTGCAAGGTGGAGTTCCACCTTGTTGGCATGGCTAATATGAGGCAGTGAGTGGGAAGGCCGAAGATACGCTGCAGCACTGACAGGCGACCAGCAGCAGTGTGAGAACGCCGAAAGCGCGCACAGACGGCCCGCACTTTCTGCAG